CCCCGGGGCCTGTCTCCCTGCGGCGCCCGGCCGTGCCGCTTCCCCTCCTGCAGAAACTTTTAGGCAAATAAATGCGCAAACGCTCCGGCTTCTTCTGTCCAGCGCCGGGTGCTTTACCCCTCCGTGGTGTTTCGTTCCAGCGTCTCCAAAGGCATGAATGCTGCTCATAATACTTGCGCGGATTTTGTTCTTGTTTTGCTTTATAAAAAGAGCTGTCGGTAGGGTTACATTGGTAAGGTGAATGCTTTTGGTTGCAGGGAGGTCTTTTTCTCTTTTTTAAGTGTTTTGGGTTTTTTCTTTTTTTAGTAAAACACTTTCTAGGCTCTGACGATTCCATAATATCCGAGTGGTTCAAGAACGACCATTTTACTACCAAAACTTATAAGGCTGGAAAGTTGGTACGTGTCACTACAGTTGTTTTGTACCAGCAAGTTTGTCTTATGCAGAGACTGACTTTTGAAATGGGTGGTGCATGTGGATCCTGCCAGAGGACTGCTGTGTCCCATGTCCTCCTGGGAGCCATCAGTGCTGCCCAGGGAGATGTCCAAGAGCAGGACAAGTGTGTAACCACCCTTTCCCAGCACAGGGTCTGGCCTCCAGAGATTGTTTGGTGTGTTGTGGACAGGAGTTTGTCTCTTGCTGGGTAACAGGCCTTGCTGGTGTTTAGTTCTGAACGTGGTAATGCCATTTGTTACTGACTTCTTCCCTTCTATTGGGAAAGATGGTATATAATCATTCTTGTGAATGATGTACACTGGTTTATAGACTCCAGTTGTATCCCTTTTTTATTATTTTCAAGTTGAAGAGGCTTCATGGTTCCCAGCATGGAAGCTGTGCCATTCCTTTGGTCATCCTTCTTGTCTTGCTTGGTAGCTTTTTAAAGAATTATCTAATATAACCCCAAAGTCTTGTTCCCAAACAATAATAGATAGCAATTGGCTCTGACCTGTCTTGTCTCAGGTGTAGCATTTCACACTCCTCTACTTTGCAGTTTATCATCCAATATTTCAGTGCTCTGAAGTTCTTGTGTGGTTCTTTGTAGTCAGTCTCTGTTCTTACCACCATACCAGGGAGTGGTTTCATCACAAAACCTCACCAGTTCCTTTTTTGCCATCCCTTGCACAGTATTAGTGGATATGCTTATTAATGCTTTGGTGACCATTTCTTTCCTGGTTCTTTGCAAGATAACTTTAAAAAATATTTTGGAGTACATTTAATTTGTCTTTTTGGAAACATAACTGTCCCAAAATATGGTAATTAATATAGCATCTAAATGTTGTGCATGCTGTTGCATGTTTAGGAAGCACAGATTTCAAGTGGCAAGGGAATACTTGAAGGTGTTTTCACGTTGTGGGAGTATTGACAGGGAGCTCTTTTCAACAAATCTTTAGTTATTATGTCTATTCACATCTATTTTATTGTATGCTTTTGTCAAGAAACATTAAGCACATTCATGAGTGCTCACAGCACCAGAGTCTTAGAGTGTAGCCCATGGAAACCAAGAAATTATGATTAATAAAGGAGAATTTAGTGATAGTAAAGCATGGAACTATCAGTTCCTTGATCGTTTGCATTTAATGAAGGTTGTGATTTCAAGTAGCAGGGGAATACTTGAAGGTGTTTTGAAGTTAATGTTATCATGGCTCACGTTGTGAGAGTATTGACAGGGAGCTCTGTTCAACAAATCTTTAGTTATTATGCCTATTCACATCTATTTTATTGTATGCTTTTGTCAAGAAACATTAAGCACATTCATGAGTGCTCACAGCACCAGAGTCTTAGAGTGTAGCCCATGGAAACCAAGAAATTATGATTAATAAAGGAGAATTTAGTGATAGTAAAGCATGGAACTATCAGTTCCTTGATCGTTTGCATTTAATGAAGGTTGTGAAAATAAATGCCAATAGAGGTACTTGAATTTCTTTTCCTTACAGAGATTTTCAGACGTCACCCTTTGAAGTGTCCGAATCTGGCTTGTAATCTAGTGGGAGTTTTGAAGTTCAAAGAAGGATGGAATGTTCAGAAGTCAAAAGGAGAGGCACCTGATCTGTCATGTCACTTGAGAAACTGCATTTTATATCTGTGCAAAGTAGCCACTCCTCCTTCTACAGTTGATTAATGCAAGTTTTAAAATGGTGTAACTTTTGTTATTATTAAATGTAGTGTTTGATAAGTGAGATATGAAGCAATGATAGATCACTTCAGTGAGATTTTTTTCATGGAAAAATGGTGCTTATTATACTCAGTTGAGTATCCTTGCCACAAGAAGTTGGAATGCATATACTTGCCTTAGAGTCATCATAACCTGTGCAGGACCATCTCCAGGCTTAGGACAAATGCCCATTCCTCTGTGTATTTATACAAGGACAACGTAAATTTCCTGTTCTTTAGTGAAATGATGAGGCATCTGCCTGCCTTTGGTTAGAAAAAAATACTTCTAGTCTTGCTAAAGTCAGAATTTTGTAATTTGAGTGTATGCATTGCTTAGAAGATGCCCTGGGTTCTGGAAGTGCTTGTGGACAGAACCTGCCATGGTTTAACTCTTTTCAGCTTGTCTTACAAAGACTCTTGGCTTCTACTTTCTCTCCTAAAAAGCTGTACCTGCAGATCTCATTTCCAAAATGCCTTTCTGCTTTCTTTCAGTGAGCTGGAGCGTCTGAGCAACTTAGTTGGTAAACCATCTGAGAACCACCCTCTGCACAACAGTGGGCTGCTGAGCCTAGATCCTGTTCAGGACAAAACCCCTCTTTACAGCCAACTTCTTCAGGCCTACAAATGGTCCAATAAGGTAAGAGAGCACACTGGTGTAACTGGGTTGGGCATTCCTACTGAATGTTTGCTTTGTGATCCAGTAGACTTCAGAGTGTTTGAGACTGCCAGAATTGCTGAGGCTTTTATGAAGTTGAGGGGCATAGTGTGTACCTAAATATACTTTCAAGGGTTAAAATGGTGTTTTAATTCAGAGGAGACTTTTCTGCTATACTGAGGCATGTCCCTGTTTTTCTAAGGAGGTGGTGGCTCTCAACAATTTTTGTTGAAAGAAATTTTGTTCTCATGAGCATAATTCAGTTTAATAAACCTGTATATAAACTCTGAATATATTTAGAGGCAGAAATTGGATAGATAAGTTTCCTTCTCTGTGACTGTAGTGTACTTATGGATCTACAATACTCCTTTCCTCACATCTGATTTGATTACATAAGTAAAATTTGCATTATTGCAATTATCACCAGTCTTGGCACCGTTATATTTCAGGTTGCCTGTTCCCATCCTGAATTTTTTGAGCGTGCTTATAACTTTTTATAGAAATATTTAAATAAGCATGTAAAAGCTTTCTTAAAAATGCTTGAAATGCTAGTAAGCAGTAACATCATGTAAAAGATAAAGTCCTGTTACAGTAATTATTACTAATCATATATTGCAGTCGTGGCTTTTAACAACCTCACACAAGACACTGAAATGCTAGTAAGCAGTAACAACATGTAAAAGATAAAGTCCTGTTACAGGAATTATTACTAATCATATATTGCAAAGTTGTGGCTTTTAACAACCTCACACAAGACAGCTGGAGTAAGCAGGAGTAGTAGAACTGAAAATATTCAGGGCACTAAAAGAAACAGTTCCACTTTAAATTATTTAGTACAATACATGAGCAAGGAAGACTTTCAGACTGCACAAATACTTCGTAGGCCGATTCTTGTATGTTGGGTCAACCAATCTGCTATTCAAATTTACACTGCAGTAATATTTGTACAAATACAACAGTAACATTTGTACAGTTATGTTTCAGGATACCAATGTGTGTTAATGCCTTCTAAAATCAGTAGGATTCAGCTCTGATAAAATTTGGGATAGTTGGAAAATGGGGGACAAGAATGATTTTTAAGAAGAGATTCATTAGTTGAGAAAATGTTTCATGTTTGCTTGTATTTCTTGCTGTTAGTAGTCTTGGCACTGAAGAAAAAAATATTAATTTGCTAAAAAAAAAGCCATTTATACCTGAAAACTTCTAAACTTGTAATGCAGTTAAATCTTCAGTGATTTAATGACTTCTTTAGATTGTTCAGAGTAAACTCAGTTGATAATCACATAGCTTTGACAGAGATGTTCTAATGGAGTTTTTTGTTAGTGTTAGGGAGCTTTGAAGAGCATTTTTTTTTTTCTAATACTGGATTCTGATTTCAGAAAGCAGAGAGGTTTAGTATCCTGCACACTCATATACAAAGTTAAATGTTCCAGGAGAAAACCAGATTTTTTTAAAAAGTTATTTGCTCTCTGTTTTGACTTCTGTTGTATAGCTAAAATGAAATATACTGTTCAAGTTGTATTTAAATAGCTATTTTCTACCTGATGGTTCTTCTGAACTTTACCAGCATCCTTTCTAGGGTCTGCAGTAACCAGCAGGCATGAGTAGGTTGTCTCTAACAGCAAACATGTTGTCTGTGTCAGCTACCAGAGTTATCATTAGCAGCAAAGACCCTCTTGATGCTCGTGTATGTTGCTGCTTAATTCTTCACTGAATAAGTATTCCTTCATTACATCTGTTGGTCGCCTTTTGTTCTTATTATGTGTGTCTGGTGTTTTCTGTTGCTTCAAAGGGAGCCTTTAGATGTGGTGATGTCAATACACTTTATGTCTGTCTGCATTTAATTTTTAATTTGTGACCCCTTGGTGGCTTGCTTGGTTGTATTTTTGATGAGCTGAGATAAGGGCATTTTCCTCTCTCAGATTGTTCATTCATTACTGGTGGCATGAATAGCCACATGGCTGCCAGGGGAGGATGGATGGAGCAGAGTTTTGGGGCTGTGGTGCAATTCTAAAAGGACATTTGTGAAATACAGGGAAAAATGAGTACGCAGACTTTGTGTTGCATGTTTTGATGTTTATTTTTAAAACATGAGGTGGCTGATAGTAGCAGCTTCTAGAATAATAACAAGTAAGGTTGGTAATAACTGGGCTATCTCATGAGAAGCAGACTATTGCTGAGTATATCAAAGCATTATACATAGTATTATTTTTTTCTTTGAAAGCTTTGCTGCATTATTTTTTATTTAAAGACCAATTAGAGGTGTGAAAGGTTAATTCTTTAAAAAAAAATGCCAAAAAAACCCCCGAGAATTTTAGGAACTATCCTATAGAACAGACTGTTTTAAAAGCTGAGATTTTTAGTTGCTATACTTATATCAGTACTTCTGCTTTGGAAATTATATTCTCAGCCAGTTTTTGGGGAATGTAGTGATTGTAACCTTGTAAATACCATAAACCACAGGAAACTCTTTAAAGCATAGTACTCCCAAATTGGTGGTGTGTGGTTTTTTTTAGTGTGTGAGTGTACCTAAAACTGAAGCAATTTTGCAAATCTGGAGGTGGATCATATTTATGTGGATGACTTTTACTTGTGCATACAGTTTTGCCAAAAAAAAGTTAAAGTTTTAGTTCTATTTTCTTAAATTTCAGCTGAGGCTGTATTAAACATTGTGCCTTGTGCTTGACAAGGTATTGGATGCCTGAACAGTTATTTCTTTATATTTGCAGTTTTCTTTAGTGCAAGTGCCCAGTTTTGATCTGTTCTTGGATGCATGGATGAATCTTTTGCTGCAAGGTAGCAGTGCTGGTTGTGAAGTGTAGTGAAGATAATACTCTAAGGTATAAATAGGAAATTCCTGTCTTCACATGAGAGTGTTAATATAGGAAATTAGACTTATCTGACACTTTCCAACTTGTTTTATTTACTACAATTAATTCTTGTAGCTGTGGCTAGTTATGTGTTGGGAGAAGACTCACTTTTAGGTACAGATTTAGTTATTTAGGTTTGCATTCAATTGTGATTTCAGAGATATTTTCCTGCAACCTTATTTTACTGCTTCTGTGAATCACGACACTAGTTCCTTTCTTTCTGAGTCTGAAGTTTGCCTGCTCCAGGGGTACAGAAAAGTACAATGGGAAGATTTTAAAAGTTCCCTTATAGAAGTGTTATCTTGGCAGTGCTTGTTATTTATTAGCACCTGCTATCCTGATATTTGCTTGCTGTAGTTTACCCAATAGTTTTGCAGATGGTAAAGTTGTCTGTATAATGGAAGCAGCTGTTTGGGAACACAACAGCTTGTCAAATGCATTAATTACATACACATGCAGCTGTAAAGGAACTTTTCCAGGTGTTTAACAAAGCTAGCAAGGTGTAGCTGAAAAACACAGGAAGTTTTGGGTTTTCACTGCAGGCAAGCTGCAAGCAAGAGCTCAATGGTTTTTCTTCTTTGCTTTAGCATATCAAATCATACAAGTCAGTTACTCTGACTCTGGGGTAGATGTAGGTGTTTTCTGGCCATGGAACAGGATTTAGGTCTGCTTGAGAAATCTTCACCCCCTCCCCCCCTTCAATTTTACTTAATTATGAATTTTATGGAAGAAAAGATGTTTTCTTGATTACCATTGAAGTGCTGTTTCCCAGAAGGATCCATATGTGCCCTTTTAATGTAATAATGAAGATATGATATTAGATAAGATAAAAATGAGCTATCATTCTTTGTGGATAATACAGATAAAGTGTTACTGGTAAGTTAGGAAGTTTGTAGAAATCAGTAGAGGTTTTTCATGTGGACTGTCTCTGTTAGTAATTGTACTTGGATTCTGGGTTTAATAGTTATGTACATGTTAGCTGTTTGGTTTTTTGTTCTTAATACTTGAGTGATGATGAAGGGGTTTGGGGTTTTTTTTTGGGGAAAACTTGTGATGATGTGATTAAACCAATTTAATATACTGATCCATATATAAAATGCTCTATAAAGCTCACTGTGGTGTGGTTGCCTGCCAGCATTACTGTAGTTAGATCAGACAGAGTAGGTGCAGGTTTTTGGAATCTCTGAGTTTGAACTCAGTCGTTGAGTGGTATAAACTTTTGTTTCCCATCTGCTGCTTTAGTGAGGTTATTTGTTGCCTGTAGTTGTTCGTCCTCTTTGCCCTTGGCAAAGAATTTGTGTAGTCTCGCCCTGTGCATGCCCCAGGCACTGTCTGTTAAGGTGTTTCCACTGACTGCAGTAGAACAGAAAATATATGGAGTGTTTTATGTCCACTGAGCAAGGCAAATGCTTTTATAGGGCTACTTTCCCCTCTTGTAATGGGGTCCTGTCAAGTAGTTCAGGCCCAGTATCTGAGCTTTAATCACTGGTAGAGGTTTTTTATTTGCTTTTGTTTATTTAAGGGTAAATGCAAAATGCAGCAACCACCAGACCACTGCTATAGAATTACTCTTGCTACCAGACATGAGAGTCATTGAGTTTGTTGGGTAGCAGCAAACTCATCTTTCCCCAGTTACTGAGTGCTAGCAGCATGGGCAGAGCTCACTTGCCTGTGTGAAAGTAATATCTGCTATAAGTCATCTCTTCTTTTTCTTTTTTTCTTTGCAATAAAGAGTTTTTCAGACTTACAGATAATATTTCTAACAGCAGTAAAAGTGGGGGAAATTTAGAACAATTGTAGACTTAAAATTAAAATAGCATTATCTGGCTTTTTCCTCAGTTTTCAATCCACTTAAGTGTTGTGTACTCTGTTGCAGTGTTCATTTGCTTTACTCCAGTTGCAACACTTCTGTGCTTTGAACCTATAAGCATAGGTATATGTGAGTGGTGATGGTGTTGTTTAAAAAGGTTATAAAAATAAAAGATTAAGGCAACTTGCATAAACTTTTTACAGTATTGGTGTGTAAATATTCCGAGCAAACAAAGCTGGACAGGAGTTGTCGTGAATTTATTTAAAAGTAATACACTGGCAAATAAACTAAAAAGAAAGTCA